TAGTAGACCGTTAAGTCACTAGCAGGTCACCTTGATTCTTTGAAGGCTTGATTTTAGGCTTTATTAGAGTGTGTCTGTTTTAGTTCTGCCCTTAGTCCTCGGGCCTAGACCTGAGTTCTGAGCTGTGGTTCTCATCTATGGCATGATACTAGGTTTTCAATGAAAAGCCCCAAATATTTACTACATCTCCAAACTTGGTGGGACATAAATTCCGAACGTTCCCTCCCCAGCACCAGACATCTGCTGAAATCTCAGCTGAGCTTTTCCAGTGTTCCGGTCATTGCTTTCTGTTGGGCTCCCTGGAATCCTACCCAGTTCATGCATAATTTAGGAGTCAGCCAAGGATTTAAGGAGAGTGTCAGGCAAACTCAAGACTCTGTAGTTTCCTGCTTTCTGGGATTTCCCCCTTCAGTTTCCAAACTGCTCCAATAGCCTTGAATTCTGACTTGGCTCCTCAGCCTCATGAGATTACCACTTTGTTTTATTCCCTGTGGGCCACATGAGGAATAGTCACTTAAGTGTGGATCTTATCCAATGTGTTACTCTTCTTTCAGTGGACAGAGTCCCCTCTAGTTTTTGCCTCTCTTGGTCACTTTCCAGTGCATTTCAAAAAAAAAATATGTGTAATTATCGATAGGAGGGTTTGTCTGATACAAGACACCCTTGCCATTACAGGAAGCCAGATGGTAGTAAGATGTTTAAATGTTATTTAAAATAAAATTCAACTTTTATTTATCTCAGTAATGGTTACACAAATCTTCACCTTGAAAATCCATCAAGATGTGTTTGTGTACTTGGGTCTGTATGTGCTCTTTGCCAGTAAAAAGTTCATTACAAGAAAAAGCCAATTTCATGTTGGTACCCAGTTAAAAACCACTCAGGCTTTCTCGTGTTCTTGGGATCAAACTCAGATCCCGGCCTCAGAACTTCTCTCCTGGCTATAACTCTAGGTTCACTTGCAGCTCCCTAAATGAGATACAGTAGCTCCTGCTCCTCCCTCCATCCCTGCCTCCTGCATCCTACGTGGATAACTCCTACTTATTCCTCAGGCTTCAATTTAAGGGTCACTTGTAGCTTTTCCTGACCACCAAATAAATCCCTACTCTCTTCCACCTTAGGTGCCCTCTGTTGCCTTGTCACAGCCACCAGGTCCCACTCCCTGACCTCCACCTCAGCAAGAGCACTCGTTACACTAGCTGGCAATGTCCAGTGAGCACGTGAATGTCAGGAACCATATCTTCAAGTCTAGCCCCCGAGTAGGAGCTCAGAGAATGGGCAAAATATTCAAATTCTATGCCATCCTTCTCATTATGTTAGCCTTCCTAGGGCAGTTGCCTACAAGACTCCACCTGTGGCAGTTCCCCAAGGCTGGAGACCTTGAAGAGGCATGGGTGCTATTGTGAGAATCCTGAGAATTGGCAGCAACTGGACCCAGCTCCAACACAAGAGGAGACATTCAGGTAAAGCTCTCCCTCCTGTTTCTTCTGTCAGATGAAAGGGTGGAACTTTGAGCTCTAATGATTACATCCTTCCTAAACATAAAAGCTGAATGACTGACCAGATAGTTTTAAAGAAGACAAGAAAAGTTTATTGTTTTGAGCAGACCTTATTTTCATTACAGTACCGGGAAATTGATTCTCAGTTCACTTCAGGTGCAGAGGGCTCTGCAGACATTTAGAGCCCCAGTGCTTGTTCCCAAGCAAGGGGCAGCACCTGGACCTATGTTGCATTTGACGAAACAGGATTACAGTAAAACAGAATAGTTATAAAGAAGGTTTTCTAATACATAGTTTTCTTTAAAAACTCTTAACATTTTTCATTTTTCTATGTTTACCTTGTTATTACCAAGGGTAACAGGTTGGAAAACATGGTACTCGGTAATCTTTTGCTCAAACTGTTGACCTTAGATTTTGCTACTTTTATTTCTGAAGAGGAACTATGCCCCTTCTCTGGAAATCTAAATGGTGACAAGTAAGGCAATGCATAAATTACATAGGTGGGATGGTCTTAGCTAATACCCTAACTTGTTTCCTCTTAAATCTTCCATATTTGGCCTCTGTGTTGCTAGGCCATTTAAGACTCAGGAGATAGCCTCTTGCTTGCAAAATCATTATTAGGGAGTTTAAACTTAATGCACTACTTTTGGGGAGCATGCAGCTTCTTGAAGCTGATTTTGTTGTTTCTTTTTATAAACTCTCAGCACTCAATGGCACCCTGCAGAGGAGAGATCCCCTACTCCATGCACTGACTCACCGCTACCCAGAAGTGTCATTTCTGTATTAGATCAAGAGATCAAATGACAAATGAAAGAGAAATTGGTATCCTCCAGAGAGCTTGAAATATCAATTACAACCTGAGTTAATGGAGTCTAATTAGCTTGAATTCAATCAGGTAATTACCAAAGTCATGATTGAGATCTTCCCCCATTACATCAAGGCAGGGAAAACATGAATTGAAGTAAAAAATGTCATCCCACCAAACTAGACACGATAGCTATTTTTAACTCTTATCATCCCACAAAAATATCCCCATAAAATCAAATACTTAAAACATTATACACAACAATGGAATAGATATTTAAATAACTTTGCACACAATGCACCTTCCATTGTTACCAACAGTTTCCGTTAGGTGACTTTACCAAAATATTTCCATTTCCATGAAATTTGATGCCATAGCATTAACACTGTATTTAAAAAAATGCACTAGAAATTCCCTTGTAACTCTTGAGTTGAATTATTTCTTTTAATCACTCATGGCAATTTTAGAAAGGGACTGCTTTTAAGTACCCAAATTTACTCCTAGGGTAGATGTGGGTAAGGGGAATAATTTTACTCATTGCTAGGAGGGCGGTGTCTGACTTATTCCAAATTTTGGTGTCCTTCAAATATAACTCCCAGCTAAAGGAAACGGGGATTTCCTTCCTATTACCTGGGCCAGTCTCTTCTGAAAACTGTAATGCCACCCCAAGCTTTCAGCCCTTCATTCAGGGACTGAGTCACTGCAACTGGACAAAAGTTGTTCATTCAAGCAGAGCCTCAACACAGTTCATAATGTGAGGACTTGAGGACAGCAGAGTTCATTAAGCTCCATTCCTGGAAATGATTTCTTAATCTCTGCTCTCCCACAAGCTGAGTTCACACAACACACGGGCCTGCCATGAGGCATGTGCGTAGTAGGTAAGCAAACATCTCTATGTTTCCATTTGAAATGCCACATTTTGAGATTCTACACTTTATAAACCTTATGGAAAACTAATGTGTCATCATTCTCAGTGTAAGTATTGAGTACAATTTTAAAACAAACATAGCCATGTCCCCACAGCTCTGGCAGCAGGCTGTGTGCATGGGTTTTGATCTCAATCAAATACCACTGTTCATAGAACATAAAAACTCACACTGTTGCATGTCACTCTGACATGTCATATTATTTTACATCACTCTGGCACTGATTCAGAAAGAAAATTTTCCATTACGGCATGATGAGAGAAAAAAACTCCATTACATATATATAAATAAATGATGGTTAAAAACAATGCACTGTGAATAGTTTCCAGAAGCTTGAGTGTTTCAGTGCAATGAGCTCTTGCTTCTTGGAAAAAAAAAAAAATCTATCTTTTCGGTCACAATTTGCTTTCACGCAATAGAGACACAGACAAAGCTGACCACGACCAAATTTTAGTGGTATTATTATTTCCTAGGGCATTAGAGGTTCATCCTGAAAGATGCTGATGACACATGAACCAAGAGAAGGAAGGAAGGAAGGCCCTAGACTACTTCAGAAGCAAACTGGGTCTTACAAAGATTCAACTACTGGTAAGACTTATGTTTAGGGTGGTGATGGATAAGGGCAGTGAGGACACAAATACTACACAGAGAACAGATTTCACACTGCACCTTCCTCACATGGAATATGCCTAAGACATTTGGTGGAAAGACATAAAGAAAGGTGGCCTGTTCCATGTCCCAAGGGAACCAGCATCTAAAAAGCATACTCAATGACTTTAGTATTTCTTGCTCAATCTCCCAGAAAATAAACTCGAAAAATGCACAATTCTGTTTACGGTTGTAGACTGAAGCAGCAGCAGCAGCCTCTCTGAAGGTTTAATTAAATCTAAGATGAAGCTGAAAAAATGTTTTTTGCTCTCATTGATTCTATCCCTTCAGCTGCTCTGACCATGTGAGCAGCAGGGCAGGGGGAACTCAAGCTACAGCCTTTGTCAAAAGCAATGATTCTGAGGGACCTTTCAGTCTTGAATCAATTTACCTAAAATCTTTTGAATTCCCCTCTTCCCAATTTTTAATTTAATTATAAAAGCAAAATGAGAAGCTCCTTCAGACTGACTCTTATGCTAACTTTTGCTTATGTGAATATGGAAAAAATTAATTACTTAATATTTGTCATAAGACTTTGATTTTTAAAAAAGACTGCAAATCAATGTTCCCTGGCATGGAAGAGTAAGGATTCGGCTATCCATCTGCAGCCCTTCCTCACATTTTTAAAAAGGAGGCAAAAATATTAGAGACGAAAACAGTTTGCACTGGAAGGAGGTGCAGTCCATGGGAGCGCTCTCGCTGCTGTACCCTGCAGCCTGGGCAGATGGAGGGAAGGACCGAGAGCCTCATGCTCATGCAAGCCAACAACACACCAGAAGACCCTTGCAGGTGCCTCCCACATTGCCTACTCACCAGGAGAGGCTACTCCAGAAGGTCCGTTCTGTGCTGCTAAAGTAAAGACACTAAAGCAGTGGCTAAAGGGCTAATGCTGCTTCAAGATGTGATTACGTGCAGTCAGAACAGGCGGTGCACCAGCAATTTTGGCAAACCAAAGGCAACCCACAGCGCTAAACTAAAAGGAATACAGAATAGTGCATAGAGAAACACGAATTACACAGTCAACAACTCTCCTGTTCTCAGCTCTGGGAGTCCTTCATGGAGAAAAGTCAAAGCCAACTTTTCCTGAGTCTGAGAGAGGAACCCCCCTCCTTCCCCAGGAGTACAGGGATGGATGATGCCATGACCTTCCTGAGGGAGCCCCGAGCCCTGCGAGATGGATCGCCAGAGGGACTCACTATGGCTGTATCCAGTAAGGAAATCAATAACAGACATTTTTTTAGAAAGTGGGAAGAAAAAGCAAAGACTTTCACAAATACACAAACTGTTTACAAAACAATTACCTAAAAAGTTTACTGGGGCTGGGTGGGGAATAAGAATCGTTTTCATTTCAAATTAGTCACATGGTACTAATGGTTTATAAAAGAGAATGGCCAATTTCTGTCTTCCTTACCTCCCCCCAAAACACCTCAGAGTCCTCCTACTTCTGATATTTTCCCTACCCTCACCCCAACCCACCCCATCCTGTCCCCAAATTAATTTGCCACAAGCCAACCCCGAAGACACATGATTGTTGGTTGGGTTTCAATTCGACAATGAACCTAATGCTGGGGAGGAGAACAAAAGGACACAGGAGCGCACTGGCATAAACCTCAAGGTGTGTGGACCTTGGACAAGGCTTCTGCCACACAGAAGCTTCTGCCACCAAAGCGCAGGCTGCAGACTGAGCTCCGCTGCCAGTAAACTGAGGTAAGGAAGAACACGGTGGCTCTGGCTGGTTGGCTTCCTGTGGTGGTGCAGCATGTATGTGCTCTTGGGTGTGGGCACCACAGGACTCATTTTCTTCCAGTTGCCTTTGCCATTTTCCCTTCTGGTTAGAAGATTGCTCTTTACAGAGTCTCAAAAGATCAGCCACTTGTCTTCCTCTGAGGTACAAATCCAATAGAGCCTTAACTCCAAAGATCCAGAGCCCACCGGTGTGCAGAAGTCAAAATCAAATGCTCAGAATCAAAAGGTGTGGCACACCTGCCAAGCCAGTTTATCAGCAGTTGTAAAGACAGATCAGAAAAAACTAGCATTTAATATAAAAAGTGTTTTTCAAATGGTGTAATTTCCTATCCTCTTGTGAATGAAGATCATAACTCTTCTCGTTTCTGAGGTCCTATGGAAAAGGAGAACAATTGAAAATAAAATGGTTTGCCTTCAAGTTGCAAAAATACAGCCTGGATTTTTTCCCCCGACATTTTAACTTATTAATTACGGCCCTACCTCCCTTTTATCTCTCTTTTTATAATCTTAGGAGCTTTGATTTGGTGTGCTTGTATTATATTTTGAAAACAAAAACAAAATTAAAAAGGCCTTTTTGTTTTTAAAAACATTGAAACTACCTGCATACTCTAGCAGAACTGTTTTCACAAATACAATATTTACTTCTGATAAAAACACATATATTTTTAGTCAGGATTCTTTTCTCGCTTAATAACGTAGAAACATTTCCCTAAGAAAAAGTGCAGCTCATTTACCATTCTCTAGTCTTGGATATTTAAACTGTTTTTAATGCTTTTGGTTTATAAATAATAAATTTCTCCATGTATATGACTTTTTTCTTGTGTGGACTTATTTTTTAAGGTAAATTCTCAAGAAAGGAATTACTGAGGGAATAAACATGTTAATGGTTCCTGACAGCTGAATTATTGCCTTTTTTTTTTTTAAGAGAGAGAGCAAGAGAGAGTTGGGGGGGGGCAGAGAGAGAGAGGGAGAGAATCTTAAGCAGGCTCCACACCCAGCACAGAGCCTGGCTCGATCTCACAACCCTGGCATCATGATTTAAGCCAAAATCAATGTTAGACACTTAGCCAACTGAGCCACCCAGGCACCCCAATTTATTTATTGCTTTTTAACAAGGATTGTTCTAATGCAAGGTAGACCCAGAGGAGTTTCTTCACCATCTCCCCAACAAATGGCATTATCAGTATCAATATGCATATTTTCTCAATGGAGTATATATTAATGACAGATTCCTTTAATATAATTATTGTTTCCTCAAGTCCACTTATTATTTGTGTTTTCCTCTTATTTGAACAGTGTGTCTACATTCTTTACCCATGTATCAACAGAAACCCTTCAGGTTTCACTACTGAATTTCAATTATTTTTACGCTGAATATTCAGCCTCTTGGCCGTGATACATCATGGTACAGTCTTCAGGATGGATAGGTGAATCACTCAAGATCCATGTTCTGTAATTCCTTTTTTAGAATTAGTTTTGAGCTGAATAAATGTTAAAAATCCAGATCTCAGTATTAATAGTTTTAAAAAGGTCACTTTTATACTCTAATGATTTGTGTCAACTGCATACCATTTGAGATGTACACAGAGTAGGGAAAATTTTACAGGAAGATTTAGTCCCTTCTATTCTTAGTCTAAATTAAATACAAACACTCCATTCTCCACCCCAATATGCTTCTTTGAAAGAACACTTTTTTCAAATCAGTATGTACTTTATCTTGATCCTAAATGTGTTCATTTACTAGTACCTGGAGAGATTTAATAAAAAACCAGGGAATCTGACAAGAGATCCCCAAAATAACATCAGGCTTGTCAGATGGAGGTAAAAACCTAGAGCCTTATGCCCAAGCAGGCCACCAACACACCAGAAGACTCCCTGCTTGTCTTATATATACAAAACTCACAAGCCTAAATAACAGTAATCTCAATTAAAGCACCTTTAATCAAAAAAAAGGGGCAAAGAAAAGAAAAAAGGGCAGCAATTGTATTAATACATACCATTTAGAAGGCCAACTAAAAAAGAGAAAAATATACACCGGTTGATGTCAAGATAGAAGGGCTGAGATTCCTTTTATTCATTATTCTATTGTTTTTGCAATAAACACCAATCAGAAACTCTGAATAAGTACTTCCCTAAGGCCAAAGGTTAGACCTACCTTCCCAGCGTGACTCTTGTGTTGCCTTCTCCTTGTCCAGCATTCCCATCTCTTTCTCCCTCTGGAAGCGGGTCTGTAGCTGCTTGATCTCCTGGTCGTAGTCCTGCCACTCTGGGACAATTCGAACAGCTGCTTCCAGCTTAGGCTCTTTGGTCATTGGATTATTACACTGTGAAAACCCAAATCGCATTATTTCAACCAAGCTGAAGACAGGGCACATTATTTGGAATTCAAAGGTGTGTTTGTTCTTGGGTTATAAATCCTAACTGAACAAAAAGAACAACACTGAGGAACCAAATGACAGATTAGCAGAAGCAATGTGCTAGTGGGTCACACAAAGCTTCTACGAAGTTGTAGGGAGTGACAGGAAAACAGGAAAAGAAAGTTCCTGTGGTAAAATCACAAGGCACAGATATAATCCCATAAGAGAAGTAGTAACTTCACTGATTTTAAGTAGTGAAAACAGCCCCATCAGACACTAGAGGACTTGGCTGCCTGCTGCAAGCAGCAGAGATCTATGGATGTTACCGTAAGACATGCTGCAATCCCCAACCCGCACAACCACAGAGAAGACTAAATAAAATTCTGTGTGTTAATAATGATCTAGTTGTAAACCACACTGGACTAAGAAGCAGAAAAGAACCACAGAGAGCTTACCAAATCTATTGTTTTTGCCCTTTTCTTAGAGGCATCATCACACCATGTTTCACACCAAAGCCACTCTTGAGGGAGTGATTTAATTGGCACCTGATGGATCATGTTATTGGGCAAATCCTGTTTGGTAAAAAGAAAACAAAACACAACAATCTAAAGTTCTGGGGGAAATTTAAATGAATGCATAGCAAATTAGTGAGGATAGCCACTCATTACATATCACATGCCAATCACAAATTTTTAGAACTGAAAGGGTCTACTAAAAACCTTAGAGAAGCTAAAATATTTGTGATGTTTTTTAAAACCACAAAGTTTAGAAGACTCAAAACATCTACCCATGATAAGCACTTGAAAAACTTTAGCTTAAAACTCACAAACTGCACCTAGACTTCCCTCCATGAGGGCAATTCTAAGAAAAAATACTACTGCCTCTTGAAAGTTAACTAAGCATAGATGTGGCTTTTATACTTCACAGTTTTGCATAAGGAAGCTCTGAATCCACCTTGTCAAATGGGGCTTGACCCCAAGTGGATGAAGCTCATGTTTTTGAGCCAACTGTATGCTTTGAAGCTTTTTTTCTCAGCAACCCTTTTGAGTTTGACACAATAAAATGTACCATTGTCTTAAGACACAACCAATATGATCCAGAAATTCTACTTCTGGGTATATGCACAAAGGCATTGAAGCAGGGACTCAAACAGATACCTGTATATCAATGTTCAGAGGCATTATTCACAATAATCAAAAGCTGGAAATAAGCCAAATGTCCATCAACAGATGAATGGATACACAAAATATGGTGTGTGTGTATACATACACACACACACACACACACACAATGGAATATTCTTCCATCTTAACATGAAGGAAATTCAAATAGATGCTATGACATGGATGAAACTTGAAAACATTATACAAAGTGAAATAAGCCAGGTACAAAAAGGAAAAATATTGTATGATTCCAGAAGTATCTAGAATAGGCAAATTCATACAGACAGAAAATAGAACACAGGTTGCCAGGAGCTGGAAAGAAAAGAGAATTATTGTTTAATGGGTACAGAGTTTCAGTTTGGGATAATGAAAAAGTTCTGGAGATGAACAGCTGCACAACACCATGAATGTACTTAATGCCACTGAACTGTATACTTAAAAATGGTTAAAATGGTAAATTTTATGTAACATGAATTATACCTAATAATGCAGGTAAAATAAAGACACTTACAGACAAGAAAAACTGAAAAAAAACTGTTACTAGTAAACTTACGCTAAGGAAAATTAAATGATATTCTTTTTAGGCAGATAGAAAATGATCCTATATATGGAAGCCCAGAAATGCAGGGAAGAATGCAGGGTAACCATGTAAGCAAATCTAAATCTTATAGATAGATAATGACTGTATTGTAGGAGAATAACTTCTGGGGTTTAAAATATAGAGAAATCTAAAATACAAAGTAACAGCCATTCAGGCTGAAATGAGGATAAACGGAGTCAGCAAATTCTAAGGTCAGTACTACTCAAACTGTGGTATGCAGACTGCAGCAAGGAGCTTGCTAGGAATGCAGGTCCTTGGACCAGACCATATACCTACTGAATTGGGCGGTGGGGATGGGACCCAGGAATTAATGGTTCAACAAATTCTCCAGGTGAATCTTTTATATATGATAAAATTTGAGAAGCACTGTTCTAATGTTTTTGCACTGTCTGGTAGGTGGATAAAATATACCGATTAATATTAGCCTTTGCAATTCAGAAACACATATTATAATCTCTAGGATAATCACTTAAAAAAACTGTAAAAACGTATATAGTTTAAGGGGCACCTGGCTGGCTCAGTTGGTACAGCATGCAACTCTTGATCCTGGGGTTGTGAGTCTGAGCCCTATGTTAGGTGTAGAGATTACTTAAAAATTAAAAAATCTTAAAAAAAAGAAATGTGTGTATAGATAGATAGCTAATAGAGGGAAAATGGAATTATAAAAAACCCTCAATCTGAAAGAAACTGACTAAGGAGAAAAAAGAAATAGAATACATGGAATAAGCAGAAATACGAGAAAAGCCTATTTTACTGGTGAATACATAAACTATAAATGGACTAAATGTTCAAATTAAATGACTGTTATACCAAACATAAAAACCAACAGACATAAGCTATTTATAAGAAATAGAACTAAAACATAAGGATAAAGAAAAACTGAAAATAGAAGGATAAAAACAATACATCATATAACAATAACCAAAGGAAAACTGGAATAGATGCACTAATATTAGGTGAAGCACACTTTAAGAACCCACTTTAAGAACCCAGGGCCCCCCAAAATCATTAAAGTTTCATTTGTAGGAAATATATGACTTCTAAGTTTTTAGGCACCTAATAATATAGTCTAAAAATACATAAAGCAAAATCTGACAAAATCAGAGATGAGGAAGATACCACAATATAGAAAAATATTTTAAACATAATTCCCTCTCAGTAACTAATAGAAAAACAAACAAAAACCATATAATTTGACCTAATGGCCTATATCTTGGCCTATATCCAATATCTACAGGATACAAAACCAAATGAAATGTTTACCAAAATTGATCACATTTGGGTCAACAAACTTCATACACCTGAAGTGATATAGAAGAAATCCTCAAACCATAAAGGAACTGAGCTAGAAATTAGTAACAATATAACTAGAAAATTCCCATGTATTTGGAAAAAACTTCTACATAACTCATGAGTCAAAGAAGAAATCATATTGGAAACGAGAAATACATTGTACCAAATGACAAGGAAAATGCTACATATAAAATGTGTGGAATGCAGCCAAAGTTCTGCTGAGATAGAATCTGATCATTTCAAATGCATATATTAGAAAAGACTAAGAATCATGAACTAAACACCCATCTCAAGAAATTAGAAAAAAAATCAACAAATTAAAGAGGTAAGAAAAATAAAGAGGTAAGAAAAATAAAGAATAAATTAGTTAAACAGAAAAGAAACATACAGATAGGATGAAAAACATTAAAAGATGCTTCTTTAATTCTTGGTGAGGTGATAAAGGAAAAAAAGCACAATAAACAATGTCAGGAATTTTTCTTTTTTTTAATCATCATATTTATTTACTTCTTATCAAGTACAGTGTTTCTGATAGGAATGCCCTTGGAAAAAGAACTGATTTTTTTTATAGATTTTATTATGTTAATCACCATACATTACATCATTAGTTTTTGATGTAGTGTTCCATGATTCATTGTTTGCATATAACACCCAGTGCTCCATTCAGTACGTGCCCTCCTTAATACCCATCACCAGGCTAACGCATCCCCCCACCCCCCTCCCCTCTAGAATCCTCAGTTTGTTTTTCAGAGTCCATAGTCTCTCATGGTTCATTTCCCCTTTTATTTCCCCCCCTTCATTTTTCCCTTCCTGCTATCTTCTTCTTCTTCTTCTTCTTTTTTTTTTAACATATAATGTCAGGAATTTTTAAGAGAGAAGACACCAGTATAGATGCTATGGGACTTTAAAAAGATAAACTGGAGTGATGAAAGCATTCTGGCTCTTGATACACATTTTCTTTTTTGATACACATTTTCTAAAACAGATTATACAGTGTACTTACAATCTGAGCACATCACTATATATAAATTATATTCAGTTTTTAAAAATGAGAGGATAGTACAAGCAACTTCATGATTCTATGTTAGGAAATTTAGAGACAACAAAAACACTGATAAAAGAAGTAATAGAAAATGCCAACAGTCTCATAACTATTAAAGAAACTGAAATCATAATTAAAGCACAAAGCAATTAGAGGCTTCACTAGTGAATTCCACCAAACATTTAAGAAAGAAATAAAGCCAATTTTATAAAAACCAATTATAGGTAAATTAAAAAAAAACAGAAACGCAACCCAACTCATTTTATTAAATCTCAATACCAAAATCTTTTTTTTTAATATTTTACTTATTTATTTGAGAGAGAGAATGAGATAGAGAGAGCATGAGAGGGGGGAGGGTCAGAGGGAGAAGCAGACTCCCTGCTCAGCAGGGAGCCCGATGCGGGACTCGATCCTGGGACTCCAGGATCATGACCTGAGCTGAAGGCAGTCGCTTAACCAACTGAGCCACCCAGGCACCCTCAATACCAAAATCTGACAGAGATGTTACTACAAGCCAATGTCACACAAAAACATAAGTGCAAAATTCTTAAACAAATACTCGCCCCCAAAATCCAGGACTATCTAAAAAAAATAATAAATCACAATCAAGTTGGATTATATAATTCAGGAATTATATTTAGGTATAAAATTAACTATATTTACAGAATAAAAGAGAAAATCGTATTATTTCAGCAGATGTCAAAAATTTACAGAATTTAACGCAAGAGATCTTTTTTTTTTTAAGTATCAAAAAAGAACTAGAAGGAACTTCCTTAATGTGAATAAGAGGTATCTACAGAAAATCTATAACAAACATCATACTTAGTGGTGAAATGCTGAATACTTTCATCATTTTGAGTCAAGAATGTCCACTATCAACATTTCTATTCAACATTATGGAAGTCCAGTAAATAGTGGAAGCAAGAAAAAAAAAGTTTTTAATGTAAGATTGGAAAAGAAAAAGTATAACTGCCATTATCTGTAGATATATGATGCTTACATATATAGAAAAGATAAAAGTGTGTATATATAAATATATATATATATATATTAGCAGGGTAGCTGAATACAACAAAGAACAAAAATCAATCGCAATTCTAGATACCAGCAACAAACAGAAACAAAAGCTTTTAAAAATAACTCTAACAAAGATGTACAAGATCTCTATGAGGAAAACAATCTACACACAACCCAAATATAAAATCCTAGCAAGTGTTTTTTTCCTTCTGAACTTGACAAGTTCATCTAAAATGTATATGAGAAAATAAAAGACAAAGAATACTCTAAGACATTCTTCAAGAATGAGGTCGGAGGACTTGATTTACTGGGTATCATGACTTATTACAGAACTATAGTAATTGAGCTATTTGTAGTATGGATGTGAAGATAGACAAATAGACCAATCAAAAATTAGAAGACCCAGAAATGGATCCATGCATACATGGGTACTTCATATCTGACAAAGATGGTATT